CTATAGGCACAGTGCTTACAGTTATGTAACTAATATATTGTTTTATTGTACAAAATAAAAAAATATATTTTATATCAAACATACACATGCATTTTTATTATATACAAGGGGATGCTTCCCTAGTATGAAATAGTCTGTGGAACACCCTTAAAATGATAGGTTATCTCATTTGTTTCTATGGAACAAGGTATCTATCCGTATAATTAAATTGATTTCACAATGTTTCCATTTGCTAGAACTCTTAGGTTCTCTTCACCTTCAATTACCATGATGTGACCTTTTACCTCCTTCCTGAATGCAAACTTCTCTTTTGAACCATCTCATTAACATTTTATATTTGAAAGTACAGACACTATTGTCTGACTTCACTTGCTTCTTCTTAGTCTAAGTCTCTAAAGGGACTTGAAAAAAAAACAAAAGAAAATAGTTGGAAATTATTTCTAAGAAAGGATAACTTTAATGAAAACTTTAATTGATAAGAAAGGGATAACCAGTAAGCATGTCAGATTCAGAAGAAAATTTTGAAAAAACATAGTGAATTTCTACATCCTCTTTTCCTTCTTTGACTAACAGAATCTTCCTTTGCCCCCTTTATTAACAGCAATGTCTCACCAGCTTATGATTCCCAGTTGTTTGAGCTACAGGACAGGAAACTGTGTTTAAATATAATTATTTTAGGTTAAGGCATAGATGCTCTCTAAGGCTGTTTAATATAAAGTGGTAAAATATCTTGTCAGAGTGAAAATAGAGCCAGATTAAATCCACTCTCTCATTGGCAAAAGGGTTAAGTTCAGAGACCAGCACAGGTAGCTTTTTATCAAAATAATGTGTGAAAAAAGTAAATGGCTTCTCAATACCCTTAATCTATTTCATAATAAATGAAAAAGAAGCTTTTTGTAGATTTCAATTGGAATATTTTTCGTTTGCTTATTGTTTCTTCCTTTGACTGTAACTCAGCTAATCAAAATCATAAAAGTCCAAGTTTAAAATTTAGGTATACATAATATGCCAGGCTGGAAGTGATGGATGAATATGCAAAAAGGAAAATTTGTCTCTACAACAGAATTAATGGCATTTGCCTTCCCCAGTTTTTTTTATTATTAGATTTTCCTTTCTAGATGTTATACAGCAAATTGTTATGTGCTGTTGTCAGTGGATGACTGTTTCATATATTTGCACTGAAAATATACCATGTAATGTGTCAGGAAACATTGATTAAAAAGCCATCCACAACTATTAGTGACTCTTTTTGGTGGGGGGTGAGGGAGGAGAGTGTGAAGACATTGTCAGGTGTGTTAAGAGCTGTGTGTGTGTGTGTGTGTGTTGCAATTTATTTCTTGGTAGGTGATTGTAATTACAGGGAACATAGGAATACCTTCATGAATGTCTCAGCTGACTCAGCAGCGGCTATTTCTTAGGCTCTGGAGTCTTACCCTAGTATAAAACTTCATGTGCGTGGTGTGGAGCAGTAAGGAGTACTTAGGCTGAAGTGAATGAAAAGGGCTGAAACCCAGCTGTGCCCACTCAGAAATGCTCCCAAAGTTTGAGAGATGAGACAATAAGAGTCTTGGTGCTTTCCTGAAAAAGAAAAAAACCTTGCTATACAGTACATCCCCAGAAAAAAAATTATTAAAATTTTTATTAGTTTTTTAAGAGTTTTGATCGTGTTCATTCCCCCTTCTAACTCTTCCTAGATCTACCCCTATTGCCTACTCACCCCAATTTGTGTCTTCTTTTTTTTTTTAACCTAACAAGACCAATTCATGCTATACAAATATTCCTGGATATATGGCCTGCTGGGGAGTGATTGGCTTCCTTAGGACTACATCTTTCAGAAATCTGTCTCTCTGCCTTCCAGAAGCAGCTAATCATTTCCAAAAGCTTCACAGCTAGAGGTGGAATTGTGTGCCCCACTTCCATCTCCTCGCGGGGTCTGGTTTGGTCTTGCCCAGGGTGCGTACATGCTGTCCAAAGCACTGTGAGCTCATATGTGTAGCTTCCTTGCTGTATGCAAAAGACACTGATTCCTGGTAGTTTCTCACTGCCTTTGGCTTGCATTCTTTCTCCCCCTTTTCTGCAATGATCCCAGAGCCTTAGGAGCAGGGGTTGAGGTGTATATGTTTCATTTAGGATCAAACGCTCTGCGGTCTCTTATTCTGTACATCCTGGCACATTGTGGGTCTCTGTATTAACCACCGTATATTACAACAGAAGTTACTCAGGTGAGGGTTGATAGATGAAATCATCCATAGATAGAATAAGTTGTTAGGAGTCAGTTTAATGCTGCGCTCATTTATTAAAATAGTAGTAACAGGTTCTCCCCTAGGCCTTATATCTAAAAAAAAGGAGAAAAGTCATCATCAATCACTCAGCTGTGAACCCTGGGAGCTACAGTAATGACTGACCTGGCCAGACATGCTTCCTGATTCAGTAGTGGCATGAACAATGGGGAGTAACCAACCACTTTCTGAGCAGATCCAAGTCCCACCCCTGGAAGATAAAACTCATCCCTGGCAGTGTTATCAGGTCAAAACCTGTGACTAGATAGGTCATGGGTCCTAGACAATGTTTCTGATCATCTCTGTGAAAAGACCTTTTCTTTAATGGGACTACTGAAAATTACATAAAAAAGCATCATGCAATGAGGAAAATCTGGAGTTGGAATTTAACTGTGTCTTGACGGAACACATCTTGTTACTTGGAAAGATTGTTCAATTTGCTAAATGCCAGTGCTCATTCACTTGACAAAAAAGTGATTAATGATTAATGCTAAGGCTAGGTCACTACTTACATCTAAATAAAGTTGACTTTTCTTGAGACTGCTTTTAAATCTATATTTCTGAATAGCTAAAAAGGTAAGTTCTTGCCCCAGTTATAAAAAATTAATGGGGCCCATACAGTTAATTTCTGATCATGTGGCCCATAAGTAAAATTGCTTGACATTTCTGCCATGGAAATTCAGAGAAAAGAGCAGTTAAATATTCTTTGAGCAATCTCAGAGATTTAATGAGATAGATAGGTAGGGCCTCCAAATTTGGACAGCTGTAGCTGGGAAAGAGAACAGTAGAGGAAAAGCGTGGAGATGAACCACGTGTGAGTTGTTCCACACAAGTTGGTAAGTAGCTTTGTAGAAGGAGGGGTTCCAGCAAACGCAAAGACTGAAGGGTTCTGAAGCCTTACCAGACACTTTGTATACAGAAGAGAGAGAGAAAGAGAGAGGCAGAGAGAGAGAGGGAGAGAGAGAGGGAGAGAGAGAGAGAGAGAGAGAGAGAGAGAGAGAGAGAGAGAGAAGGGAGGAAGGAAGGGAGGAAGGGAGGAAGGGAGAAAGGGAGAAAGGGAGTGGGAGAGAGAGATAAGTCATATTGTAAATGTTAAGGACAGGAGGAGACATGAAGAGTGTCCTGGTATGATGCTGGAGCAGATGGAGAGAGGTAGAAATCAGTTTAATTTATAGGAATAAATAACTAATTAATGACCCTGCTGAACATCTGTACAGCTTTGGCTCTATTGTCTTTCACCTAGCTGATACACATGGAAGCGCTTGACCCCTTTGCATCTTCCTTGATCTCACTCCTCTCTTGTAGGAGAACCTCTGGAATGTGCCTGTGGATAGCCCCTATTGCAAACCCAAACCCTGACAGCCATATATACACTACCCCAAAACAGATGTGCCATGGTCATGAGCTAGAATTATTTACAGGGTCAGTATTTCTGTCATTGAAATAGATCTAGGAAAAGCTTACTCCCAGATCAAAAAAAATTTGGGTGAGAGCGTTAATGTCTACATGGGAAGACACATTCTGTGGGGTCACCCTCTAAGGTTCATGGCCTGCTCATCCTATGGGAGAGCCTTGGCTGGTATAGAGTCAGATCAGGATCTTCTAGACGGGGACCTAAGATAAACAATCAAGGTAACTGGTTACGGATGCAATGTTACTTACTGGCAATCTTAGCGCATGGAGGCGTCACAGATTATACACAAGCATCTTGACCTGCTTTTTTCTTTTCATGATTAACTTCACACAATTTTGGAACATCTTTTTGGAAGTACTTTGGAGGAGTGCTTGAGTAAGTAGAACCTTATTTTACTGAGCTTTTCACATACTTTCTTCTGATTTCCTTAAGGGGGAAGGAAGAGACAGAGTCAAATTCTGCCACTTTCCCATCTATGGCTTTAATAATTTTCATTCATTTATTCAGGGGTATATTAGACCTTTTTTTGTAGGCACCAAGAGGAGATCCTACAACTTTATTCTGAAAGTTTATTTATTATTGTGTATTTGTGTGTGTGTGTGTCTAAGTGTGCTTGTGATGTGAGCATGCATGAGTGTACTATGCATGTGGATGCCAGAGGCTAAATTTTGGAATCTGATGAGTACAAATGAGTGCATATTCAGCAGGCAGTGAATGCAGATCAGGTAGAGACCTTGGAAGTCCTTTGGAGGTCTTTATAACCACGCCATAGAAACCCTGGAAAAGCTGATGCAAAGATGTCAGGTTGCAGAGTCCACTTTGCATATTTAAAGGATTTTTCTGCTCTCTTTGGGAGAGCATCTTAGAAGGGGGCAAAACACATGGGGAAACCAGCTGAAGTCATTATAGGAAGGGTGGAGATTGCTTGGCGAGAGGTGATGCCATCTGAGATAGGAAGTGGATTAATTTGTAAACTAGAGGCAAAGTATTCAGATCTGAAGGTGGAGCGTCCCGAGATGATTCTCAAAGCTCATTCCCAGGATTTCATTGCCAGCACTTAATGGTTGATAGACCAGAATTAATCTACAGATTATTAAAGGGAAGCAGCTGAAGGGAAAAACACTAAAAATACCTCACAATGTGTGATCCAGAGGCCAGAAAAACTTAAAGAATAATATTGGGTAGGCAGGATGACTCAGCAGGTAAAGGTTCTCACTACCAAGACTGACATTCCATCCTTGGGACCTATGTGATCCTTCAAATTGTCCTCTGAAGTCAGCACACATCCTGTGGCACAGAAAATCCGTGTGCTCGCTTCAGGAGCACATATACTAAACTTGGAACGATACAGAGAAGATTAACATGGCCCCTACACAAGGATAACGCGCAAATTCGTGAAGTGTCAAAATAAAAAAGACAGAAAGGTCCTTTGCATTTATCATTGATATTATTAATAATCTTAGCAAATGTTATTTGAATAAAGCAATGGAAGAAGGACCCAAAATTATCTAATGAAGAAAAACGAAAGAAGGACTGGTACACAGCTCAGTAGTAAAAAACCCATTAAAGCATGAGGCATCCTGGATTCTATTCTCGGTACTATGTGTATATAGATAACTCTAGAAATTTGGTTAGGAAATAGAAATCAAGATGAAGATCTATATATGTATCTTTTTATAAGAAATGGGAGTGATTTCAGAATGTTTGAATCTCTATGGAGAAAGACTTAGGAGGGAAGAAAAAGTTGATTATATTTTGAGGGAAACCTTACCTTCTTTCAGTTTTTGCCTACAATCAAAACTGTTTCTGTTCTCTGGGAAATTTGGGGGCAAGAATTTGAAACTCTGCAGCAAAAGCAACTTGGATTTTGCAGGGACAGAAAAAAAAGAAACCGCCAAGGAGAGGAGTGACAGCTCCCTTAATTGAAGGGCTGATTTAGGATTCAAGCGTTTCATTGTTTGCAACCGCAGCAGAGCTTGCGATTATGCTGAGTGGGAATGTGACTTCTAGAGACCAATTTCATCAAGTCTTTCATTCCTTGGGGTCCCTGGAACAGTGTTACTCTGAGTATCCGTGCTGGTTTCCGAAGCTTGACTTACCCCATTGAAAACACAGGAAGAATGCTATTTGATTTATGAAAGGAGTTACCCAGCCGTTCACCTAATTTTGAAACAGTGACAGGAATTGGAGGAAAGAAAAAGGATATTGAACCAGAACTGTACAACTTGCAAGTTATCAAGATGCCCAAGGAAGACAAAGATTTTTTAATATTCTCCGCCGTAATTCATTCAAATGAAGTTAAGAAGTCAGTTTTCAAGACAATGCAAACTTGCTAATGCAGATAAACTTTAAGGGCTGGATTGCTTTTTAAAAGTTTGGAGTGTAGTGTACAAGGGAAGCCAGGGTAACTGTTTGAAGTTGTTAAAAAGGCTGGGTTTCTTTTAAACACATGAAGTTACTCTATTAAAGCAAAGCATTAGCACACCCATTTAGTAAACTGGAATCCAGTTATTATTTGCACAGAAGAAGACAATTATGAAGAGCTCAATCCCTCACACATTTGGGCTTTTTCAAGTCAATTTAGCATGTATCTTACCCTATGATCAATTTACAAAATATTGTTTAAAATAATACTATAAAAGTGGACTTTACTGAAGCATCATAGCCAGAAGAAACTAAACACTGCTTTAAGAAGACATATGTAATATCCCAGAGTATGAGAACAAACACTAAGTTATGTTCTTGACCTTCATTTTGAAAGAACAAGATGTGCTCCCCATAAAGTTCATACCTTTGTATAATTTTGTTGCATGTGATTATAAATATGGTATGTTTTTTATTATTGTGGCAGTTTGAATGTGGCAGTTATAAGCTCATAAGAATTGGCACTATTAGGAGGTGTGGCCTTGTTGGAGTAGTTGTAGCCTTGTTGGAGAAAGTGTGTCACTGCAGAGGAGGGCTCTGAGATCTCATATATGCTCAAGTCATGCCCAGTATCTCAGACCACTTCCTGATATCATCTGATTAGGATATAGCCGGTGCCATGTCCACCTATGTGTCACTATGTCCTGCCATGATCATAATGGGCTAAGCCTCTGAAAATAAGCCATTCCAATGAAATGTTTTTTTCTTTATAAGTGTTGCCATGGCCATGATATCTCTTCACAGCATTAGAAACCCTAACCAAGACAGTTACTCATATTCAAAGAGTTTAAAAGGGTATGATAACTTTTCAATATTGAATGTGAATATATAAAGTTATACCTGTGGATAATATTGATAAGCAATATATTGATAAGTTATAGCTTCCTGAAAACAGGAGTTCTGATAGGTCTGAGATAAATTATGTAGGCCCTGAACTAGATTGTCTGTGATACAAATGATTGGCTCATATGTTCTACATGCATATAATAACTACCTTGGATAAAATGCTCACAATTGGCCATCCACTCTCTCTGATCCTTCCTTGTCAAAAAGTTTTATCATCTATCATTCAGTACAATTCTTCTAACTTTATTCTAAAAACTATTAGTTTGAAAATTTTTTTACAAAATGAACTTCCATATTGGTTATCCAATATCAAGTGGTCATACCTGAAAGCAGATACATATAAGTAGCTTCATTTGGGTGGAACAGGTTGCATTTATATATTTAACAACAATTTTAAAAATGGAGGCTGTCTTAGTAACTTTTCTATTGCTTTGATAAGACACAACAACCAAGGCAGTTTATAAGCAAAAGTTTTTAATTGCGCTTATGACTTCAGAGGGCTTGAGCCCACGATGGAGGAGCAAAGGCACAGCTGCAGGAACAGCTGAGAGCTCACAGCTTCATCCAGTTGTTCTCGAAAGTTTCTTTGCTTTCTAGTCAAGGAAGCTCTGCTTGATATTCTGCTACTTTTCTATGGAGAATTTCAATTAGGTGAAAATCTTTAAATGGCACAAGATATCCTTCATGTATAACTGCTGTCTTGACTCTGTAGAATTCTCATATTTTTCTCAAGGATAGCTAAGTTTGTTTTTCCCAATTCATCTGACACATGCTACAGAAATTCCCCCTAGTACACGCATACAGTTGGAGGCCTATGAGGAAGACACAGAACACAGGCTTGGCTTTGGGAAAGCACAGACTTTAGTCAGTATTCTTGACTTTCTGTGGGACCTGGAACATTACCCTCCTTTCTGTACCTGTACAGTGAAACATGTAACAACCCCACCAGACTGGAAAGACATAATTTATTACTGACACTAGACCCTCTACTTAAAGGACTTGCCTAAAAAAGCCAGGCTCCCTGACATTCTAGGGTAGCGGTGTGGGCTGTGGAGGAAGCCCTGAGCGAATGTGTATTGTTTGACACAGGCATGTCCATATTAAAGATCTTGGTGCCTTAGACTCATAATAGCAAAGTCTTCCCTGGGCTCAGGGAAATGGTAAAGCTGCCCCTTCTGATCTGAGTGCCAGTGTTAATAGTGTGTGTGGAAAATATGCACTGTAGCTTTCTCTCCACAGATATTTACAGCCTGGAGTTTGCTTTCCTAGAGAGACTGCTCCTACCAAGATTAGCTAAATCTGCCTCCTTGATTCATCTGTGTACCATAAAGTCTGCCTCGTTGATTTAGTTGTATGCAATAACACTGCTTCCCTGTTCAACTGTGTGAAGCCGTGAAGGTGAAGCCTACTATGGATGCCAAAACCACTGCTTTCATCTTAAAGGGAATAAAAAATACTTTTTTTTTCCTGAATCTGTTTTGTGTGTTCATGGCCTAAGAATACAGACTTAGGTTACCCCAAATTCTGTGTTCCAACGTGGAAGCCATTTCGCGAAGTTTTATAGTTTTATAGAACAACTGTAGTCAAATAAATCATGGCAAGTTTAAAGTACATTGGCGAGTACATCAGAGAGGCAGTTACAGCAAGATGGAAGATTTTCTCTAGGCCCAAGATCATCTGGTGATACTTTGTGTATGGGTACTAGAAGCTAGTGGTCTGCTAAGCTAATAGATTCTGAAAGTTTTCTATCTATTAGTCATAAGATTGTTCAGACACAAAGGTGAGCAAGGAATGGCTATTCTAGGGGACTAAAACTGGCTCACAATAAAGTAATTAGCCTTTGGGCCTGCTACATTCTAATACCTGTACAGTACTGAAAATCTGATCAGTCAACCACTCAATGCAGACACAGCTTCTTTCCAAGAGGTTTGTTTGCACTCGGTTGCAGCAGACTCCAGAGTGCTGAGACTGTCAGGACCAAGGGACTTCTGCAGAAAAAACCTGCATATCAGGAGTGGAGGTCGCCCAAAGAGAGACTCTATGTGCTTTAGGCAGTAGAGCTGGAGGCAAGGGGCTAGTTAAGGCCTCGGAAGCCTAGTTGAGTTCATCTTAAGATCCTGATGCTGGACACGGAGCTACAGAGTTGAATGTTTTCTGCATTGACTTTCACTCTTGATCTCGTTCAGTCTTTCCTCACTATGCCCTCATTCCTCCATTTTGGAGAAGTGTGTTATTGTATGTTAGAAATATGTAATTTGCTTTTTAATGTTATAGGACTTATAGGTAAGGGGCTGCCTAAGTCTCAGAAGAGACTCTCTACTTGCATTTTTGTACTGTGTGGCTATAAAAGGGTATGGAGACTTCTCAAGTTGGACCGAATGTATTTTGCATTATGAGATGGTCAGTGAGTGGGGACAATGAATGGAAGATTTTGCCTTTAAAGTGATGTTTAGGGGTCAAATTAACCACAGGTAGAGTTAGCATGGATAATATTGACAGGATCTGCAGGTGGGCAAAAGACACTCACTTGGCAGCCTGTGTCTCCACAGTCCAGCCTGCCTGAAGTGTCCACATGACTGCCTAGGGCCTTGTGGCACGAGCAAGTGAATAGGGGTGAAATGGGAGAGAAAGAGAGGTTCATGTGCTGTGCTGAGAGGCCGTTCTGAGGAAATGAGGGCTGTGAGGAATGGGCTGATATAGGTGGTCTCATTTCCACTCAGTACCAGGGTGACATCTAGGCCTGGGCTGCTGCCTTTGGCTATATCTGGGTCAGCAACAGCCGGGGTCTATGTTGATGTCCATGACCCATGTTGACATCAAGGCCACGGAAATGACTGGGGTGTGGGTCACCATCTGTAGGCATTTTGGAATCTAAGGGCTGTGCTACCACTGAGGCTATTTTTATCTGAGTGACCTATGTTGCCATTGGGGGACTTGATGGTTTCCGGGCCTGCACTACTGCAGGTGGCCATGTCTGAATCCATGGTTCTGCAATAGCCAGGGTCTGTGTTGATGTCCACGACTTCAGAAACCACTGAAGGCCACGTGGATGACTGGGAACTGGTCAGTTACTCGAGTACGTGTTGCTCTCCATGAGCCATGCTACCATCAGGGTCATGCTAATTTGTATGGCTTAGGGCTGTG